AATGTGAATGAAACTGAGAATGTGACTCAAACAGGGGCTACACGATAAAATTTAAAAAGAAATACAAAAATATGCAATTAAATGTATATTAAGCAATGCTTGACCAATTGTTTTAAAATAGATTAAGTAAAAAGTAATTATTAATTTTTGTGAGGATATATAAATGAAGAGTAGGATTTTTTTTTTTTTTAAATTTACGTGCAAAATTATTTGTTTGTTTGGCTCCATTTTAATAAAATTTTGGAGAAAATATATTTTGAAATAGTAATTTTTTGGAGAATGTGTGATGAAAAAATAAGAAAAAATTTTAAATTTAATAAAAATTTGAGAAAAATATATTTTAAAATAGTAATTTTTTTTGTAGAATTTATGATTAAAAATAAGAAATAATTTTAAATTTACATGTAATATTATTTTATTAGGTGGCCTATGTTTGAAAATGAAGAATGAGAAAAATGTATTAAAATGGTGCCCAAACTTAGGCAGGCAATGATACTTTCACTCACACAGCCGGTGACCGCGAAACACCCACTGCCCGCACCACCCTTCGTCCATTTTCATCCTCCCCTCGGATCTACGGTTCCTAGTCAAACCCGCGCCACATCTCTTCCCCATATAAAATACTCACCCTCCACACGCGATTTGGTCCTACTGTCCCAAACTTTTGCACCTCTGAAGTCCTTTTAGTTTCAAATTCAGAATTCATTGCTTCAGATTTTTTCAATGCGAGTTTCACTATTCTAGATCGCATTTACAGTTTGCTTGTGACGCCCCGTTTTGTAACTGTTGATGCATATGTTGGTGGATGCAGATCGGCCACTAAGATGCTTGGGTGAATCATTTTAACACAGCATCTGCAGCAATTTTTGACGATCTTGGTAATTAATTAAATTATATTTGATTTTTTATTTTTGCAGGGAGAGTAAAGACCCTATGTTCTTTGCCATTGTTTGTGGAGACCATTGTTGTCACACGAAGTTTTTGCAATTGTTTTTGCCAGATACTTGAAAATACGATTAGATCATTGTAACTAATTGAACCCAAAACATACAATTGGGTAATAAGCCCACAATACCACAGGGCAAAAGTTTGATTTGATTATCTGATATATAGGTGCATATTTAGCAACGTATGACTCTATTGGCTGTTTCTTGTAGATTTTATTACATAATATAATCTGGATTTTCAATTATAAACAGTTTGTCATTATCTCTTATCACTTCAATAGAGTCAATTTCTGCTCCTCCTCCATCAACCACCGATGCGTCTGTAGCATCAAACCCAAAATTTTTACCTGCCACAAAGAATCAAATATCAAATTGTGAAAAACTCTACTCAATTGAAGGCAAAATAAGTTGTTACCTGCAATGTTCTTGATCTCTACGAGGGAATTTGGCAACCTAATCAACCTCCCTGGCTCGGTGCAATGTGATTCTCTACGTGCCATGGGGTGGCCTTTATATATACTAACTCTAGGAACACACTGTCTCTGAAAACTTTCTCCACTGCGATCCTTCTCATTTTCATGCCTTCTAAGAACATCTTCATCCAGTGCATCAGGAATTGATATACGGTGTCCTACCTCACGCTTTTGCAGTATGTCACTCAAATTTACCGGAGGAATCTTGTTTTTAACTGTATCATTGGCCTCAGCCCCGTTCATCATCAGAAATCTCACCATGTCTATGTGATTTTCCTCAATCGCAACTTGGATAGCAGTCAATCCATGACGATCCTTTGAGTCGACATGTAATCCGTGTTTTAGGAGTTCTTTTGCCACTATCATATCGTTTCTTCTTGCAGCCATGCATAAAAGGTCAGCAGCAATGTAGGAATCAGAAATGGAAGCCCAGTGATACAAAATCATGAATATTGAATGGTGCTTTTTTGTAATGGCTTCCCATAACGCCGTGTTACCATTCATATCTGCCATCAATTATGTTATTCATCATATTTCAATGCGAAAAAACCCATCAAGAAAATGTTAAATAATTATACATTACATACATATGCATAGAGATAAGAGGATGACATTTTACCCTTCAAGTGTATGTTACATCCATGCTTGAGGAGCGCCACTACACACTCTTCATGCCCTTTAGACGCTGCTATATGCTGAGATGTTGAACAAGACGCATTACGATGACAATGGTGTCAAGTACAAAGAAAGCAGGTATGTTTGGCTAAGCTAAGTTAATTATAAGTAAACTTTAGTTCGCAAACATGTTTAAAAATTTACATTTTTGTACATACGCTATTTCTTTTTTTTCTCTTTCCTATTATTATGTATGTTTATTTTGTTCTATCAAGATCTTAACCATGCATTTCTCGATTTAATGAGTTGAAATTAGTCTGGTCACTCTTTCACAATACTTTAGGAAACAAAACCCAAAGGAATTGACGTACCAATGGGGTTCTTCCTTTAGAGTCTCCGATATCGGGATCCAGCCCGGCCTTCAGAAGCTCATTAAGAAAAGCAGCATTGCCTGTACTGGCAACTGTGAGCAAGTTTATTGACATGTTCAGGTCACCATCTTCTTCCCCGCCTTCAAGAAATAAATCCCCTAGGCATAAATCTTTCAGCTTTTTGTGATGCTGCAACCACCACATTTTAACATCCAACCATTAGTTAGATTCAACATAAGAAACTAGGTCGATTCCCAGTTAAGGATAAGTGAACAACATAATTAGTCTATACACAGTTCAGCAAAACACACAAACGAACAGACTGTTTGAAGAATTCTATTGTCCTAGCACTATGACAGAACAAAACCTTTGATACTAAAGCCAAGTACCTAATGACCAACCTGAAGGAAATTTTTAATCATGGTAACATTATCTTCCTGTCTGGTCTTCATAGCTTCTATAAGATTGCTTGTTTTCAGCCTCAGCAATTGTGAAAGTGTCTTCGTACGATATGTATAGATTTGAGGTCTAGAACAAAATGCTACAACTTCTCCAAACATGTCCTCTGATTTGAATTTCCAAATGACTTTTTCTTTGTCCTTGTCACAGTCGATCATTTCAACTTCACCGGATACAATTATGTATACATCATCTGGTGCTTCATTGTGCATTATAACATCCTCTCTTGGAGGGATATATTCAGCTTTCATATCTGCAACCTGATCATTTTAAACAGATTTTACATGCAATCAAAATCTCGCATGCTAATTTAGGCATGAGATATTTCTTTTAACTAAATATATATTGCTTACCAGGAGCAATAGAATTTCCCTAGAGACACCCTTAAAGAGATAAACGTTCTCGACTGTAGGCAGAAACAAATGCTGCCGGATACTTTTACATAGTGTTTTTGGTAGCTGTTCAATGAGTTGCTGCTGGTTCAAGCTCTCAGCCTTAAACCTTAGACACATATAAGCCAATATCTGGTCTTTCAACCTAGGAGGCAACCGATTACGGGACACAAAACTCGATGCAGCTTCAATGCTATTTCTCTACAAGAAAATACAACAATAGGATCACTTTCCTCTCATGTATTTTGTCACTTACTTTCCATCAGATAGAAAAAAGGACTTACGAATTCCATTGTACGACTAGTGCCCTCAACAACCAAGTTTGTCATGTTACCAATAATATAAGCAGTTAGGCCAAGATTGAAAAGCATGTAGAAAATTATGAACACCATTTCTAAGGTATTCACTGCATGTAGATCACCATATCCAACTGTAGTCATGGTAGTGACGGACCAATACAGGGCTGAAATATATCTTATCCAAAGGCTCGTCTCTTTGAAATTCGGAATAGCAGATCCAATCCATGTCTTTCCTTCGTGTGGATATTTGACGGCTAAAAAGTAGTATAGGCATCCAGCACAATGCGCTAGGAACATCGTTACCTGGAAACATAGGTACAAAATGTTGGATCGTGTAGGTCTAATCATACCATATACATGATAAATTCCCAATCGACCCCTCGGCATGCCAGTAAAACAATTTTGATTGTCTTATTTTGATATTGAAGATAATTTTGATAACAAATACTTACAAATAAAAGCCTGGCACATCTGACCCAAAAATAGCTGAATCTGATATCTTTTTCAATCCTGCAATGCCATTTGAATCTCAAAATCTTAATATCTCATTCCAACTTCTTTACCAATTCACCGAGGCCTTAGCCATAGTCACATAGCTTGATGACATGTTTTTCGATCTTCTATGTAGTCTACTTGAAGAAATGTGATATTATTTAGTTAGTATGGGTGAAATACTAACCTTGTAAAGAAGCTCTTGACGCGGCGAAGACGCCAAAATCTGAGCATTCCTAGAACTGAGTAGGAGACACCAGCTTGATGTCTCCCAGTAAACAAGAAAGCTACTGTTTCAAATGGGATTGTTGAAGCCACATCCATTAGAAACCAGGTTGAGAGGTACCTATTTTCCCAAAAATTTACAAACCAAATTTATCCAAGGTCTAATTTGCATTCTGACTTATTGAATTTACACTTGATACAATCTCATATTACGTTTCACATTTCACTCATTTAATCCAACCATTATAAAATTGTCACATTATCTATCTGCAACCAAATGGTAAAGAGAAATTTATAAATAGTTTTATCCTTTTTTTTAATCGAGGGCTGAAAATTTAGAAAATCAATGTAGTAAAATTTTGTACAAAAATAAGTTGACAAAATAACAACAATTCAATAATTATATTTAAATATAATTATTATCAATAATAATTAGCAAATAAATAAAAAAATTAGTAATTTAGTAACAAATAAAATACTTACTAATGTGTCCTAAGAGTAAAATTGAGGAGTATAAGTTTAAATATTAGGGGAAAAAATACAAAATGAGATTTTAAAATGAGTGGAATAAAAATGCAATTGATAAACAAGTAATAACATTATAACCATAAAATCAATCCATAAATAATGTCATAAAATTTAATAAAAAAGGGTTAAAAATTTACAAATTCGATTTTTCACTTTATTATTATTATTATTATTATTAAAAAAAATTAAAAACACAACAGTTGTATAAATCAATCACACCCTTCAAAGAGAAACGGGAATTCTACATTTTTCTTTAATTTGATCAATGTCATGGTCACTCTTCGTAGGTTCATGTCTATGTCGATATCACTCACCTTTGATAAATATATAAATGATTTCCAAAATATTATTCACTATGCTTTATCACTTTTTAGTATTATTTTTTTTTATTAATTTGATTGTATAACCATACAAATACAATATATTTTTATAATTTTTCAAGCCAACCATTTAAATCTAAACACAATAAGATTTTTATTTTTTCAGTATATTTTGATAAAATTTGATGAAATGTATAATTGAAAATTTGATAAAATTGTAGATTCTATAAAATTTGTGGTTGAAAAAAAAAATTAAATAAAAAATGAGTTTAAAAAATTACGGTTAAACGTGGGCTAAGTGTCCCAAATTAGTCCACTACTTATTAAATTATTTAATAGAGTTAGATGGTATAATAAATATATTCCCTATATGACATGTCACTATTTGTCCTCTACGTGGAACCTAATGAACCATCAATCAATCACAAAACTTTATGTACCATATTGGAGTAGTGGGCATGGGGTCACTGCCATTAGTAAACAAATATGGTCCATATGTTGCCGATATTTACATTCTAGGATCATCTCGAACTTAATTTAATTAATTATTTAATTTCCAATTCTGCAAAAAGTTGGAAAAAAAAAAGAAAAAAAAGTGGACTTCTTCCTATTTACTTTTTAATTATTCCTTTTTACCAATTGGTCAAAAGGGTCTGCATTATTTCATAGAATAATAGAATTTTGACTATGTAAGAATCAAATAATAAATTCTTTACAAATTAATTAAATAAAATGAGAAAATCATTAACTTTGATGATAAATTCTTTCTTTGATCACCTAATAATAAGCATAGAGGGTGTTTGGTGGGGAAAATAATCCAAGTTAAAGTCAAATAATTAATATTAATCATATTTTTCATGGGTCCCACAACTTTTTAACGATACATTTCAAAAATCTCTATCACAATCTACTAAAAATCTAATTTTAATCTCCACCAAACACCCTCTAAATGTTTGTTTAATGAATGTTCCTACTGTCATTCTAACAGAACATCGTACTATGAATCACTACAAAATAGAGATACGAGAAAATATTTCATAATTTGTTCAAAAGAGAAAAGTAATTATGAAGAAGAAATAAAGAAATATTCTGACCTTGTAGCAATTTTTCTTGAATCAAGGACAAGAAGTTGAGTTCTTGAATCAATGTAGGCAACAAAAAATGTCAAGACAATATCAACTGCAAAGAACATGTCCACAATAATGTCTGCAATGTATAGCTCTTTCTTTGGACTCGAATCAAGAAATGCAATTTCAAAAGGGCAAACCCATACTGAGTAAGCTACCAAAATCACCATTAGGGTCCCCCAACATCTGCAACACCAACATACTCATTCAAATATTCTTACAAAATAAAATAGAAGTGTGTGTGTGTGTGTGTACGTGTGTGTGTGTGCATGCATGGATGGATGGATGTAGAGACAGACCTGTATCTTGAATCCATGGGAGAGATGATTCTTCCTTTTGAGTCATTTGGGATTTGGTTAGAACCTGAAGAACCCAATGGTGGGATTATGAGTTTCGACAGACTTCGAAAACTGAGATCCCTTCCTGAACCACTGTTAATTAATACTGGGTCTTCATCAATAATCTCAGATTTCTTCAGTTGGGCACTTGAAGAGTAAATACTATCGCCATCAGATGGAAATTTCATTTCTATTTCTACAGTACGATCACCAAAAAAACAAAAAAAAACAAAAAGAGAGGAAAAAATGGTCAAGAAATTTCTTGTAATTAGGGTTGTAAGAAATGAAATGTTGTTCTGAAACTACAAGAAAGTAGAGAAAGAAGAGGATGGAGATAACTCAGAAGTGATTTTGATATTATTGTTGTGCTCAAGTAGGTAGCTAGCTCAAGGGTCATTGTTAAATAATTGTGGTGTGAAAAGAATGGTGAGGTGAGGTGGGGTGGGGTGGGGGTATGATAATGAGGCAAGTGGGAGCATCTGGGATAGATGGATTGATTGAATTAGGTTTTTTTTTCCAATAATGACCAAAATTTTGGCTATTTTGTATATATATGCATGGGCAGCTAACTTTATTGTGGTGGATGTTAATTACTTGTGCTATGTTTTTGTCCAAAAAATGAATATTTAGAATAATTAAAGATGCCACTTTTTAGTGGCATGAGATAATTCAACATAATAAGTGCGTCGTCACAATCACCATCTATTTATAAAATGTAAATACATATTACACATAAAACGGAAGAGGAATCTAAATAAATAGATTTATGAGCTCTTTGATAACTTGAAAGGTCAATGTTATGAATGAAAACAATAATGAAAGTGTTTCTTTAATGAGGAAATAGAGTGAAATATCAAGATTTTATTCTCGAGTTTTTGTCCACATTCTTAAAAAAGTTCAAAAAAGGCTGTAATATTTTAAAATTAAAGTTATTCAAAAGTAGCTTGTTACTTAGCTCCATTCGATTTTATTAAAAAATAAAATTTTTAATAGATTTTAATAAAAGTTGATAAAATGTGTGACTATAATGTATTTCATTCCTGACAATCGAACCTGATATTGAAGTGCCTGCATTAGAAAAGTCGATAAAAATTGTGAGTTTCATGAAGTGTGTGGTTAAAATTAATTGTTGACTTTGACTTGAAATTTTAATTGGATTTTAATCCAAACCAAACAGGGGCTTAGATTGGTCTTAGTGTAAATGTATGAAATTTTTATTATTTCATTTTTTGTGGTAATGTGGTTAAAATTAATTGTTGATCTTTATTCAATTTTTTTAGTTAAATCAAATATGAAATTAATATTATAAATAGCTCTTTTAACAAATTTTAACTAAAATATATTCTTGAATTCATTCAGAAATTTAATGAAACTTTGAACAAACATTATAATCTCACATTCATTCACTTAGTGATAGTTTTGATTAATTGATAAAATTTTGAAATATACAACAATACATCTTGACATACCCAACAATTTTATTAACAAAATTTCCTTTTCGAATTTTAAATTACTTAAAAAAAATAACTTTAAAGTACAATTTATAGAATATAAAATTAGTTTTTTAGTAGATTGTGATAAAAAATTTTGAAATGTGTAGTGAAAAATTGTAATACCCATGAAATATTGATTGTTTGATTTTGAATTAAATTAAAATTTGATTTTAGTCAGAAACAAACAGGGTATAGCAAACGGCAGGGTCATAAAGCATCATGATTGCCAGTCATCTGACGTTATCATAACCTAGATCATGCTTATATTTTTTTGGTTTATAAAATAATAAATTTTGATTTTTAAAGTACAGCTAAACAACCTACCAATGACAGATGCCGTCAAATTGGCTACAAAATCGGTCAAACCGATGGATCCAACCCAAATCGACCGTGGGTTGATTTTAAGTTCGTTTGAAAAATGAAATTTGAGGTCGGATTGGATTGGATCTCGAGTTATGAACTAAGATCCAACTCAACCCAACTCGATGAATTAAAAAATTAATGCCTAAAGTAGAAAAATTTAATTAGACACAATAGTGGAAAGATGTTGCTTGTAAATTACTAGATAGCCAATCTTTACTTAACTCGGTCCAAGCAAAGTCCAAAGACTCTCGTGCCTTTCTTGGTTGGACCTAAATAGAAGGTCAGAATCTATTCTTGGTGGTAGGGCATGGTTAAGCTTTTAGTAGGCATGGAGTAGAAGAAACTAATCGATTGAGATAACATTTTCACCAGATGCTAGAAAGAAGCAAATAGAATCAAGAGTCCCTCACGGCGAAATGTGAGTTCATTGTCGGATTCGGAGTAGTTAAAATCAAAGAGTTCTAGATATGCAGATTAAGTCCATGTTTGACACACATTTTTTCAAAACTCATTTTCAACCACACATTCTTAAAATACATTATTTCCTCAATAATACCCATCAAAGACACCCTTATTTTCGAGTTTGATTTGACTATTCCGACCAGATAAGAGACCAGATACTTGACGTTAAGTCGATAACATTTTTGCTGTCGAATAAATTATATGTGGATGGTTAGTTGGATCTCAATCTCCAACATTATAGAGTCATAGACCCACACACTTAATTATACCTTAGCCATTAGGCTGTTCACTTGGTCCACTGGAAGACAGCATAAAGTCGATATTATGGAAAAATCATGTCAAAATCTTGGAAAGATAAAAACTTTATTTCATAAACATTCTTTTTAGAAAAATACATTAATTATTTTTAAATTGAAGGAAATGATAAATTTGAAATTATTCGGTATGATCTCTAACTTATCTTTCGAAAACATGTTTAGTATGCAATATTATTAAAGACGGACCAATAGTAATCGCCATGAATGCACTATTATTTGGTAGGTGAAAAGCGGACACTTGCATTTGTAGGTTTTTTAAATATGCCTTTTCTGTCATTATCTACTAAAAAATAAATGTGAAAATGTAAAAAAGAGACACGGTATTTTTTGTAGAATTATGCTACTCAACCACTTTGAATTATCCGACCTCACCTCCTCCCTCATGTGGAGGTCGGGTCCCACATCCAATAAATGTGGGGACCCAACCCCCATGTGAGGGAGGGGGTGAGCCCGAGTAACCCAAAGTGTAATTCAAATGGTACATGTAGCAAGACCATTTTTTGTACGTGTTAATATGCATGTCAATTGTTGATGTAACGTCAACGAATCATGAGCATTTGTGATAAGAAATCAATGAGACAAATGCCGACATTGACAAGCACTAATAATAATAGCATACCGACCATGCACTTCATTATGATTTTTTGAGGAGCAGCACTATATGTACAGGAAAAAAACCAGAAATCATACAGAATACACACATGGGGTGGGTCCCATTTTTTTTTTACAATATTTAAGGCCCCATGTGAGTATCTGTATAATTTCTGGTAAAAAAATTTTTATACATGCAGAAAATTTCTTTTGAGTAGATTTAGCCACTAAATTCAGTAGGAATTTTTATGATTGGGTGCATCTCCCATTATGATTTCGTCCTAACAAAGAAATGTTTCATTAATGGTGAAGATTGAGATTTCTCTCCAACTTTTGGAACTACATGGAATTTCACATTATAGGGCACCTACCATTACTATTTACTTTGTTTAAAAGAAACCCAAAAATTATAAAATAAAATAATAGAATCATAAACAATAGGACTTTAGATGGATTCTGTCATTCTGTGGGATGTGCCCTTGTTAATAAAACAAACAAATGATAAAACAAGGAACAGAATCCTGTGTAAATCCAAATTTGAAAAACAAAGTTCATATTTAATACTAGACGGATTTGAATTCAGACGAAACAAGACATTGTTGAGAACTAAATTTGCACATATAGACAACCTCAGCCTTCGTATTTCAACAGATTACAATTATGTTTGTAATGAACCGAGCCTTGTGTCCGGACGTCCTCTTACGTATTATCCGTTTTGGGAGGACATCTACCTTCTTACCCCTTGTGAATTTTTTATTTTTATTTTCTTTTTTCAAGGGACAAGAGTGTTAAGAAAGGGTTCAAGGCAAAATTTCACTAATAACAATGGGTTTTCCAAAATGATACAATGTTAAAAGGCATATCAATAGTTTCAAAGGTTGTTTCACCAACCTAATGCCATGAAAGGTTCTCTACCAAATTCTGTACTCGACTTTCCCTGGCAAAAAATAGCTTCTCCAATATTTTTTCTGGTCGAATTTCTAATGAGATCCTCAGCAAGCATGTATGTGGGAGAGGCATACCCGAGGCTTGTTAAGCATGGGTTAAAACTCCAACTGCTTCATAGGTTACTACACTTACAATTCTGCTTTTGATTCCTCATCTTCTGATGAAAAGTCACCAGTTTTGTCTTGCGTTTGGAGAGGAGGTACTGCTTGTTCTCGCGGTTCAACATTTTCACCTAAAATTTTAGCAGTGAATTGTCTAGCTTCTAAATCAAGATCCGGCCACTCTGCAACTATTCTTTTAGCTCCCTGAACACAGAAATGTCGTGGAAAGATAAAGCTATGATGACGGGACGAAGGGACAAAAAAGAAGCAAAATTCATGAAACTAATTATCACCTGAAGCTTGGGTTCCTTTGTCATGGGATTGTTGCAGAGATCTATCGTCTTTGCCTTGGACTTTGTCGCGTTACCACACCAAGACTCGCACCACAGCCATTCTTGGGGAAGAGAGAAGATGGGTACCATGTGTTGAGCATAGTTTGGAAGATCCTGAAAAAACCATGCATTACATTAAAGGAAGAAAAGGAAGAGATTCTACTGTTGATGGGATTAATGCTTTCAATAATCTGGCAAAAATATTGACCCTAAATGGAATTTAGACAGAAAGACATCCCAAACATGCTCTATATATAACGTGGACTAGTAGACAAATGAATTTCAGATGTGCACAAAATAAACATAGAACAGTTAAAATATTAACTTACCTGATCAAGATTAGAAAGACTGTTTGGATCTTTGCTTAAGGTTTCATAGAAAACTCTTAGTTGATCTCCTGCTGCTGTTTCCCGGAATTTGACCAGATCAACAACATATAAAGCACTACAGAAGCACACAATGTTGTCAGGCGGGCTGTTATCATTAATGAGAAATACCAAAATTAGCGAAATATGTGCAATAAAAAGCTGCAGTTACCTAATATGATATGGTCTTCCTCGTAGATGGTCATTCCAGAAACCCTGTTTCAGAATGTTAATTTTTTTGTTAATTTTGCATAAACGGAGATAATTGTTAAATTAGTCGAATTGAGGCGTATCTACATGTTTCCAAAATCTGTAGCCGTCCATTTCTTTGTTGTTGTCGCAGAATGGAGTATAAGCAAGAGGCCGGCCTCTTAAATCCATGTCATAGAGTTCTCCCATGTCTGCCCTCACAATCTGGTCAGCATCAACAAATATAACCTGCAGGTGTCAAACTTATTACATTAGACATTCCATAGAATCCAATATTAAGACAAAATGCTGATCAAGCAGCATAGTGTTTTTATGCTAGAACAAAGTAAAATACCTTTTCCAAGGCAAGAGGAAAAATGACATCCAGAAACAGGATTTTATAAGCCCAAATGATTCGCTGCTTCTCTTTTTGTTTATGTAACCATGTAGGCCACTTATAGGTAATTAATTCGTACTCAAAACCATATTCACAAGCCATATGAGGTATTACATCCTGGAGATAGAAACACAAACAACAAAAAACAGATGAGCCAAACAATGCAAAGATATTCAGCATGAAATGGCAAAGCAGAACTGGTGCAGCCAATAAAATGATTATTGTTAGAACAGAACCTTGAACTGAGGAGAGAGGTAGTTCTTTATAAACCAAAACTTGACAGGCCGATGCGTGTTCTTCAGAACACTTAAAATCATAATTTTTAGAAAGCGCTCATACCTGCCAAATGCAATTCATGAAGTGGTTAAAAAAGATATGATAAGTGCACAGAAGTAACATATAAACAGAAAAGAGGTCTGTCAGACAGTTCAAAGTATAATTTTCACCCTGGAAAGGAAAAATGAGAAGTGAAAAAAGAGGATGATTGTGTCCTTATTCATGACAATATAAAAAGAATGATTCAGAGCTTCTGAATCAGCATTTTAATCTCTAGTTACTTGTTTACTGATACTCAGGAAATAAAGGATTAAAGGGAGGAGGAAAATGTTGACCATTTAAACCCTTGACAAATCAAAATAATTATAGCCAGCCAGAGTAATTTTAACTTCTCACAGATTCAAGACCTAACATTCAGTCATGTCTGACATTATTATAGGACCATGCCACAGCCTGATAAAAGATATTAATTCTTGGTTCTCCACCAATACTCAAAAAATGTTTTGAGAAGTTTAGAAAAAATGTTGGTACAGTTAAGGAGGAAACTTGGAGAGGATTATTACAGATAAGAAACTTACAAGTGTCCAGAGGCAACAGAAAATATGTTAATAGTTTGGCCATGACGACCAACACTCCTAGTCTCCTAGAGAACATGACAAGAAGATGGTTAATTTAAAGAATAACTTTCTTTTAATTTCTATTAAAAGTTGACACGCGAGTTACTAAGATAATGTGCCAAGTACACATGAGTCCATCTCTCAAGTGCATCTGTCTATGCATCATGAAGTAATGACAGAAAAAGAGTAATCACCCTGGAAGTGCTTTCACCCTTCTTCGACTGATCTTTCCCTCCAATAAATCCAGAAGCCCACTTGAGAAAATTGGAATTCCAGCCATTTTGATTCCCCTGGACGTTTATTATATAAAACACTTAAGTACAAACAATGTAAAGTCAATGAGATAATCTCTTTCATATGGATTACGTAAGGTGAAAAGAAATGACAAAATTAACAATTAAGCTTCTTTACCTTCTTGTTAGTAGAATGATTATCATCATCAGAAGGAACCAATAATTTCTCGTGTTCCTTGCCCTTCTTTTTCACCACTTCCATGTGAACTAATTTACCCCGCAAATCATTTATGGTAATACGCTTCGACAAAGTTGTTCCCTGACTTCCATCAGCATCTTCTTTCATAACATAGAGCTCGGAACTTCTACCAGGAGCAAGCTGCAAGTACCAAACTCCAGGAAAAACCTTCATTTGCCAGTAACCTAGATTAGCCATGACGAGGGTGTCAACCATGTGGGGAGAACTTTTGGTTCCAAGGATCAACTGCAGGCCCCGGGGAGGTTCATGATCTTTCTCCGAGCAATGACCTGGTTATATTGCTCTCTGATTAGTTCTTTTAAACTGATCAGTTGATGGACAGTAGACAATTAACATTAATCATAATAATACCTGTAAGAACAAGAGCTTCGAGTTCAAAAACTGCTTGCAATGTCCTGGTGTCTGCTAGGTTTTCAAGCAATATGTTGTCGAGGTCATGGCTGTAACATTTAGCTCCAAAATAAGAAAGGTGGAATCATTTAAGGAACCATGCACGTGATCAATAAAATATATCAATGTCCAGGTGTCAGCTAGGTTTTCAAGTTGTAGAGGTCATTGCAGTAACATTTAGCTCCAAAATAAGAAAGGAGGAATCATTTAAGGAATCATGCACATGATCAATAAAATATATAACAGAATTTATTTACATACATGGCTGTATTAAATAAACATCAAATTCTACATGAAACTTACACAGCGACAACCGACTCAACAAGCCATGGCTCAGGAACATCAAGATTCATGGTAAGTGTCTTAGATAGTGGCATATTCACAAAAAATGCTTTGGGACCGTGCACTGTATGATCTGTACTGCTGAAGTCGTCCTGAAAAATCAAAAACAATAAGTATAAGAAGCCTTGGATTCTAGAAAGGGATTATTAGCTCCGAAGAATTGGTGATACCATTGTTGGGACTACATATCTGTAGTAATTCTTCAGGGGAAGATCAACCAGAGAACTCTGCCAGGAATACCAACAACATTAATTTCAAAATCCAAGTCATAGGTTATTGTGTTAAGAAGGTTAACTCAGCCACATCTTTACACAAGCATATTTAAATAAAAAGTAAATACCCTGACAAGTGACAATGATCGAGGGCATGCAAAATGTACACAGTATATAAAATATCAAAACACATAAATATGCACTCCCAGTAAAGAAAATAATTACCATTGGATTGAGTACAAGTCTCATGCTTGGCTGAACGTACTTTGACAGAATCCGCAGAAGAGAAGATAACTTTTGCCCAGAAGCACTCAAGGGATCAATAACAGCATCAATATGAATGCTCGAATGATCATTTTGTAAAACAACAGCACTGCATATAGCATAAAAGCAGAGGAAATTGATACTACGTTTAATACTTCTAAAAGAAGGAACGAAGACCCTAACAACAGGCTGCAACTATTAAAAGAAAGACTCTCATTGACCCTCTTGCGGCAAGAAAATTCAAGAAGCTTAAGCACAAGGGGAAACAATGAAATGCAGCATAGAAGTTGGAAAATTATATTTTTAACTGTTTAAAAGTTGCACCTTCAGGTAAATCCATTGTCTTCTACAGGTAATCAGATATCATTGTACCAAAAAATATTCCAACACTAGACCAATTGTTTACTACAATGGCACTTAACTGTACAATTTTGCATGGCTTTGAGAAAATAAGCGATAGTAATCAGATATCATAGTACCAAAAAATATTCCAACACTAGACCAATTGTTTACTACAATGGCACTTAACTGTACAATTTAGCATGGCTTTGAGAAAATAAGCGATATTTACACACATAGTTGAATTATGTGAGAACAATAGGAACAAATATTTAGAATGTCTATTTTGCAGTTATATATGCATGGTCATAAAGGGTTAATGAAATGGTAAATGCTAGATTTTTTAATCAGCAAATTTGATAGATATTTATTTTTAAAAAGCCTTAGATAACTAAGCAAGGATGGGTGAAGAAATCAGCAACCTAAAGTAACATTAACTAGAATAAGAGAGAGAAGTCATATGAACCAGAATATATATGCTATGAGAATCTACGTGGTGCTATTCTTTGCACAAATACTGCAATTAATTCATTGACGCACAAAATTTTTTCTTAAAACATTTTCCATCACTCCTCAAATTAGATGGTTAAGAGTTACTGTCAAAGAACCAATGAAGCATGAATTTAGGAAGTGAAACACCCCAATGTAATGGCAAGATATAATGAACTTATGAACTGTTGCCAGTTGCCTGTATGAAGCATGCATGTGGACATGAGGCACAAAAATGTATATGACAAACTACATTGAACGTCAAAGAGAACAGGGGATATATGGGGGTAAAACAACTTATCTATCTCATTGAAAAATAGCAATATGTCTAGAGTATCCGTGGATGTGGTTGTATGTGCTAAGCATCCTTGGATAGAAAGAGAGAGAAGACAATAGGTATAATTTGCTTATACATAAACAATTTTTTTTTACCATACCCTTTATTTTATAATTTTTATCAACGTGAGCATGGCTTTGAGAAAATAAGCGATTTACACACATAGTTGAATTATCTGAGAACAATAGGAACAAATATTTAGAATGTCTATTTTGCAGTTGGGTTAATTTCTCAAACAGTCACTGAAGTTCCGTCAGAATTTCAAAACGGTCACTGAAATTTAAAAGTTGCACTAACAGGCACTGAAGTTATGTCCAGTTTCACAAATGGTCACTGAAGGACCTTTTCATTCTAATTGAAACTCAATGAGCCAAAATAATTGAAGCTTGCACTTTGAGGACCTAAATAGAAAATTTGACAATAAAACAAATTGACTAACTTGAAACAACAGCACCGCCTTATTAATTCAGCCCACCACCACAAATTTTATTCTTTCCCTCCCAGCACCACCACGCCTTATTAATTCAGCCCCAACTTCCTCAATCCATCTGCTCTTATCTTATCATTTACCATTTTCTCTTCCTTTGCAATCAAAACCTGAAACAACTTGAACTAATGGTATTGATTCGTGTTTATCAGAAAAAAATTGGGTTCGATTTACTGATTTTTTTTGTTTTGTTTCGGTAGTTTTAAAAATGGTTTTTTCTTCGAATTTATTAGCAATGGAACCACCATGGGGGACGTTCTGTCAATCGTTTGCTGAAACAGAAGCACTAACAAAAGTCTTGCAGAATTCGTTTGCAAATCCATCAATTGAGAATAATTCCCGGCATGAAATCTTGACGGATAAGGTTTGAGTCTTTTCTTGTTAGTCCCGAATTGATGCCTGTGCAGACACCCACTGTGGCGAGAGGTTTAGGAAGTGGAGTTCCGGTTTCGAAACGTCGGATTGATGCGCTGACGGGAAAGATAAATAAGCGAAAGTCGCAGACGGCGATGACGACGTTCATCACAGCAAATCCGGCGAATTTCCTATAGATGATGAAGCAAGTGACTGGGGTGAGATTCGGCGGTTTGAAGGGTCAGTTTGCGGCGGCACAATTGGTGAAGCCGGCGCCCCAAAGACCCAAAAATTTTTGGAGGTTTTAAGGATTTTACGGGGAAGAAGGTGTAATAGTGATGGAAGAGATGCATTTGTTTTATTGTCAAATTTTTTATTTAGGTCCTCAAGGTGCAAGTTTCAATTATTTTGGTTCATTAAGTTTCAATTAGAATGAAACGGTCCTTCAGTGACCATTTGTGAAACTGGACGTAACTTCAGTGACCGTTAGTGCAACTTTTAAACTTCAGTGACCGTTTTGAAATTTTAACGTAACTTCAGTGACCGTTTGTGAAATTAACCTTTTTGCAGTTATATATGCATGGTCATAAAGGGTTAATGAAATGGTAAATGCTAGATTTTTTAATCAGCAAATTTGATAGATATTTATTTTTAAAAAGCCTTAGATAACTAAGCAAGGATGGGTGAAGAAATCAGCAACCTAAGGTCCTAAAGTAACATTAACTAGAATAAGAGAGAGAAGTCATATGAACCAGAATATATATGCTATGAGAATCTACGTGGTGCTATTCTTTGCACAAATACTGCAATTAATTCATTGACGCACAATTTTTTCTTAAAACATTTTCCATCACTCCTCAAATTAGATGGTTAAGAGTTCCTGTCAAAGAACCAATGAAGCATGAATTTAGGAAGTGAAACACCCCAATGTAATGGCAAGATATAATGAACTGTTGCCAGTTGCCTGTATGAAGCATGCATGTGGACATGAGGCACAAAAATGTATATGACAAACTACATTGAACTTCAAAGAGAACAGGGGATATATGGGGGTAAAACAACTTATCTATCTCATTGAAAAATAGCAATATGTCTAGAGTATCCGTGGATGTGGTTGTATGTGCTGAGCATCCTTGTGTAGAAAGAGAGAGAAGACAATAGGTATAATTTGCTTATACATAAACAATTTTTTTTTACCATACCCGTTATTTTATAATTTTTATCAACGTGCATTCATACAACAATGACAATTCAATTATTGTAATAAAATACTATAGAAATGATCCTTTATATATTTCTTATTTAAAATTATTAACATATATAAAATATAACATATGATCAACTAGGTTGAATACATGTATATAGAAGCTCATATGCATACAGTACGTTTGAAGTTTCTTATTATTCCGCTATTCATGATTAACTGGTAAGTTGTGGCACTCAGTTTACATTTTGAACTACAATTAACTGGGTTGAATAATATTTAGTTGCTATCAAACAAACTTGATCTAGGAAGTATTCAATATGTTCTGAAATTCATGTAAGAAATGAATTTAACACCTAGCAATTATGTAAGATACATTTTCTGTAAGTCACTAACAATGCCCTATCATCCATTTATCACAACAAAATAGAGAAACCATTTTTTGTTAGCAATAATATATGTACCTATATTCTGCACTCAAAATTTCAAATCGAGCACTCTCAGGGTTTCGATCTCGTAGACTCATTGAAGATGAGATGGCCATCACAATGTCACTGATGAACTTGCTGCACAAATGAAAAAAAAAAAAA